CCGCCGCCCGCCGCACCCGCCGCGCCGCGCACCGGATGATGCCCCCGCGGGGGGCGGCGGGCTCCTGCCGCCGGCGGCGCCTGGCGCCCCTCAACGAGGACAACGGGCGGTTCCTGCTGCTGGCCGCCCTCATCGCGGCGTACCTGAGCGCCGGCGCCACCGTCTTCTCGGCCCTCGAGAGCCCGTCGGAGGCGGCGGCGCAGCTCCGTTGGAACCGGACCCTCCACAACTTCAGCCGCATCTTCAACATCAGCCTGCCGGAGCTGCGCGCCTTCCTGCGGAGCTACGAGGCGGCCATGGCCGCCGGCATCCGCGTCGACGCCCTGCGGCCCCGCTGGGACTTCCCCGGCGCCTTCTACTTCGTGGGCACCGTCGTCTCCACCATAGGTGAGCGCCGCCCCGACGGCCCCGGGGGCCGCCCGTCTATGGGGGGGGTATGGGGGGTGCGGGTGCTGCGGCCGCGGTGCCCCCGTTATACCCACCAAAGTTTGGGGAGAGGCGCCGCCGCGTTGCTATGGGAACCGGGGGCCTTGCCGTTGAGGTTTGGGGTGGGAGGGGGTGTCCGGATCCGTATCCCCACTCACCCCCCCCCAACACCCCGGCGGGTCGCGGTCCCACCGCCCGCCCCGCTGCACGGAGCCGGGAACCGGCGCTGGGCGTCGCGGTTGCCGGTGCCCCGGGCCGTCCCCCCCCACCCCGTCCCCTCCGCCAAACTTTTCGCTGCGGCTGCTTGTTTTGGGCTTCAACCGGCCAGCCGGGGGGCGAGCGGGGCTGGTCGCCCTCCGAGGAGCCCAGCCCGCGGCGGGATGCGCCTGGTGGCCGCGGATGGCTCGTTACCGGGCGGCTGGGGCTGGGTTGGCAGCGGGCTACCGAAGATGCTGAGCAGTAGCCAGGCGATCGCCCGACCTGTAAACTCGATACTGGTTTTTAAGGGCTGGTAAAGTTAAGGTGCGGGTGTGAATAAGGGCTTAAGCTACTGGAAGCCGTACGTCTCCTGGCTGTACTATAATATGCATTCTCAGTACATCGCAGGCTCCAGCTGACAGCAGTGGTTCCTATGCGATAGGTTTTTTAGGAAAAGCAGCACTCTGTGAGCAACTGATGAGTTGTTGGGGGAGGACTTCCTCATTTTTTTCACTCTAAACTTTAATTTTTTTTACTCTAAAATAACCTATTATTACTTTTGTACTCTATAAGCACCGTTAAGGAGCACAGGGAGGTTTGCTTGAGGTGAAGCTGTGGCTCTCGGAGTATTCCTTGAGAAATCCTGTCCCTGCTACAGGAGATCTCACCCCGTCTTCTCTCGCTGACAGTTTTCAAGTTTTTTCTAACAAGCCGATTGTCTCGGGGGTTCTGAGCATAAATGTCATGCTTTCTCTTTATTAGAGAGGGAGAAACACACAGCTCGTTATTGCACTTACATTCATTAGGTTCGGAAAATGTTTTATCAATAGTGACTAATCTCCGTAATAGAGTCATGATGGTGACTGCAGCAGTGTTGTCAAGTATTGTTACTTTCTGCAGTGAATAATTCGGCTAACTTTTCCTTTTCCAGTACGTTCAATAGTCCAGTCATTAAAACACCATTTTTAATTAAACGTTAGGCCTTCTTCATCACAAAGGCATGTATTTTTTAAGAGATCATTATGACTGACCTGAATGGAGGAGGGGAGAAAAGTCGGTGTATTGTTAAACCCACTCTTTAATTACACCTGCTGTAGCAATCAGAAACCTTCAGCAGATGTGTAAATGCGGTTCCATTCACTTCTCCATGAACCCTGGCTTCTCCTCGCTGTGGTTATTGAAATTTAAAGTTTCCTCTTCATTTGCAAGCGTCTATTTTCCTCTCCGCTTCATCACCCTGTCTGCAGTCGTTTATATCTGGGTGGAGGGAAGGAGAAAAACTCAGCAGGGGTTTTTTGGCAGTCACCCCAGGTGTAAATGGCTCAACCAAGAACTGTGTTTCTCAGATTCCTGTAGTGTGACCCAGGGCACTGCTCTCTCTTTAGAGCCCATAACCTCTGCATCTCCCACGTGCGAGATGGAAGCTGAAAGGTTGTTTTTCCTGAGCCTGCAACAAAGGATTGGGTTCTGCCAGGCGTTCCCCTGAGAGGTACCTTCTCTTGGTGTGTTTTTCCTGAGCCTGCAACAAAGGACTGGGTTCTGCCAGGCGTTCCCCTGAGAGGTACCTTCTCTTGGCATCCTGCCTACTGGTACTTCTGGATTCCTTACTTCGCCTGAGTTCAGCGAACCGGCTGTGGAGCAAGGTTTTGTTCTGGATGAGGAGATGGGGCAGAAGGTGGCTCGAAGTGAAGATGAGTTGTGCCTTTGGGCAGAGCCATGGTGTTGGGGGTGCTGAGCTACGAATAGTGTCTCCTGGAGTACCAGTGTCCCGAGGCCATTGCACCCCATCCTGGACATCCTTGTCCCTTCAAGTTGCTGTGGCTTGTAGAGAGGCAAAGCTCACAGAGAGCTCAGCAGCTCATCCACAGCCTGGGCTTCTTCCACCACACAGTTAGTTGTATTTGGTTATTACTGGCAGCTGTGTTTGCCCAGCAAAAGCAAGAAAACCCAGTGAATTAACTAGTTGTCCCGCTAAAACCCCAAAGCTGGACGTGCTTTAATGAAATGTGCAGAAAGCTTCTTGCTCCTGGTCGCAGCCTGGGGGAAACCAAATGGTGGGCATCAGGATGTCACCTGGGGGAGTGGTTCTGGTGCTATTCTGTCATGGGGAAGAAAGAGATTTCCCCTCCCAGCCAGCTCACTTCTGTACCCACCTCTGATTCCACTGCCAGCTCCAACACCGTGCTATCCTGCTTCAGAGCAGTTTCACTTGCCTTCACGTCACCGTTCCTTGACGTGGAGAACGCTGTCTGTACTCAACCTCGCCGAGAGCTACCCGACATCCAGAGTCAAAACAGCTTGCCTTTCCTCAGCAGCTTCCCCTGCTGCATGTGTCAAAGCAACTTCACCGCCGCGGCTAAACACGCTCCCTTCCCAGCGACGCCTGGGGAGGCTTTCTTACTCACTGCTTAGCAAACAGCAGGTAGAGGCTGTGCCTGTCAAGGGTAAAAAGGGTTACTCAGCCTCTTGCCTGTAGAGGATTCCAACTTACAAAAAACTCCCTGGATCTTTTCGAGTCCTTGCTCTGGTTTTAATACAACTGCGAAATCCTTCGTATCCAGGCATCAAAACAGAGTCACCGGGGACAGGGCTGGAGGTTTTCCTGGGCTTTGTGGAAGCTGAACAGAGGGAGGGAGGGAAGCTCCAGTTCTTTGTCCTTCTCTGAACACAACCCTCGGGCTCGGAGAAGACTCCTCCATCCACCTTCCCCGAGCACAGCTGTGAACACAAGGGTTAGGCACCCTCAGGCTCGAAGAAGACTCCTCCATCCACCTTCCCCAAGCGGGGCCTTTGCAGAGCTGAGCAGCTCCCCTCCACAATGTGTTTCCATCTCCTGTCCTTCCCTGGCTGCAGTTCTGCATCTTCCCTAATTACACAGGGATGCGATCAAACCCTCTGGGTGAGAAACATGTCGGTGGGGTCTTGTAGGAAATGGGAGAGTTAAAATGAAATGTTAAGTTTAATCTTAAAGCATTTTCCTGAATAGCCTAAAAGTGAGCGGCTTGCTGTCCATAAAACACCCTCTTGATAGCACTCTGGGCGTTCGTATTTTGTTATTATTGCATTGTTTGGGGTTGAATAATGAAACATCTATTTTTCATTAGACACATCTCAACTTTCAGGCTGTGTAAGAAAATTCTTATGTCTAATTTGTGATTGCTTGCTGTCAGTCTACACCATTTATTCAATCATTATTTTGCTCTCCAAAAGTGATTTTTCTCGTAGGCATTTATTATGACTTTTGTACTGATTTCTTGAAGGAGCAGCCAGTGAAATTTATTCATGATTCGTTGCTCTGACTGGCAGTAGACTTTGCTTTTTTTTCCGTTGAGTTTTTTTCCTTCCTTCCTTCCTTCCTTCCTTCCTTCCTTCCCCAAATACAAATCCCAAATACTTCCCTGCACTTTGTTGAAGACTGAAAGCAAAGCATAACTCAGTCCCGTTTTCTTCCTTCACAGCATCATCGATCAGAGCTTTCCCCATATTCTAGCACATAAGGCAACTCCCAAAGCTCTGGATTTCTGACTCAGTCCATGAGTCTAGACTCTCTATCCAGATTTTTTTTCCTGTCTTAAATGGCAGAATAAACATTAGGTACCTACATATTAAAACATATCGAGACATTGACTTATTACTAAATTTGGATTTTAAGCTTCTTACCTTTAGGTGCACGGTTCAAAATCTTTTGGAAAGATCAAGTGACACAATTGCTTTATAGAAATCTATACCAAGCACTTAAAAAATGAGGTCAAAAGAAGTAGTCCAATTCAGAAAAGTGTTTTTTCATTGTAATATTTTTAAAAAGCACCCTGATTGTGGCTGGATGGTTTTGGGCTGGAGCAGGTGTGGGTTACAGGTGCTTTGAGAAGAAATTGTACTCTTCCCTCTCTACAGCTGTGTGAGGGTTACAGGTGTTTAGGGCAAGGTGTGAGTGGGACTATTCATCCTTTCCTTGTCCTGTTAAATGACTCAGGAGATACCGGGAAGATGGGCTTTGAACCCAGGTGAAGAGAAGCTGTAATAATTGGTATTTTCTACCAGCTGACTACCTCCAGGCAGCTCTGCTCTCCTTGCTTAGGATATCGGCTGGGTTTGACCCCCTTCTCTCTGGGTCCTCTGTAGGGACATCATTTCTGCTTCCTCTCCACAACCTAGGCACCATCACCACTCGCTTCTAAAATCTCCCCTGGCTCTGTGTTGTAGCCTTTTGAGAAAATCTGGAGGTCCAGATGAGCTGAAGGCAATAATTGAATGGAAGTGGTGTGTGAAAGGTAGTCAGACAGCTCAGCAAGTGCATGGTCAGATGTTGGACTGCACTGGTAGGAGCCAGGGAGTGAGCCTGCCCAAGAGCGGGCACTTCACATGGTAATTAGCCAAGAAATTCCACAAATAACCAAGTTGGTCTGAAGCCTTTTAAGGGGGAAATATATTTGCCCTGTCTTCTTCATTGATACGTTTCAGGATATGAATTTGAGCTGCAGCTGGGGAAGATTCTGGCTCTCTGCTCTCTCCGTGAAGGCAATTTCACTGTCTAAATGGCCAAGGCAGACCAGAAGGTGACAGTCAAACCAGAGCGTGTGCCTGATCAGCATCAGTGTTATGTTTTCTCAGGGCTCTGCAGCTCTCTGAAGCTTGTACAGGCAGCTTTGGCAGAGGGTTCAGATTAGGGAGCAGTTGCCTCTGGAGTTGACCTTCTTGAAGTCAACAAAACCCACCAACCCCAAACCAGAAACAAAAGCCAAACAAGAAAGCAGTTGGGAGAG